TATATATATATATATATACACACACATATATACATGCACATTAACTTTGTAAATATACAAATTTTTTATAAAAAAAACGTAATTAACGATTAATTCCATATGATCATATTTTATGAAAAACTGAATTACTCAAGACTACTATAGTTATTATCTAATTAAAGTTTATGCTACATGTTTTAAACAAATCCTGTACTCAAGGTAGAATCTTTAAATTATAACCTAGAGCAGCAAAGTGCATATACTTGAACAGATTTACACAAGGAAAAGAACTGTTAAACCTACTCTTATGAGACACATACCTTAACTGTAGGATTCCACCTGAAGCTCTAATTTCATAGGGTACCAACAACCCTTGATACGATTCAGTCTCTAAGGACTGTTCTTGCTAAAGACAAATTAACGTACACACTTGTAGTATGGTGATCACATACAGAGGAAGAACATTTTCTTCAGACAAAATTTGTTGTAATTTTCAAAAATATGTTTCAGTCAGGTACACAAGTTAAAAAAGAAAAAGAAAACATTATAGGTGACTTTTTAAAACACTAACCACTTTCACATTTATTAGAACAGCTTAAAGGCAAGTTTTTATATTCTAAAAGGCACACTGATACAGTCTTTCAAGTATAAGACCACTACAGTACTAACAACCTGATGTGATGCTGATTGAAACACCCAAAAGAAATCCATTAATGCAGTACTTTGTGTACCTATATATGTAGAATGGTTTTGTAACTGGACAAGTCCATTACATATTAAGTTATAGAACTATCTTCTTTGAAGATACAATACTCTATAACCTAAGAACTTTTGAAAGGTCGACCTTTTGAAAGTGCTCAAATTATAGGGCAGGGTTTCTCAACCTGGATTGCACAAAACCCTAAGATTCCATGGACTGGTCTCAGAGGTTCTGCAAGAAAAAAAAATCTGCAATGGTAGTAATATAAACAAAAAAGCTGAGACTCTTCTGTAACTGTCACAGTTTTTTTGGCTCTTTAAATATTCGAATAAGGGTTCCAGGGTAGCATAAAGGTTGAGAACCCCCATTATAGAATATTGTACCTTTATGTTAAATTGATTCCTTGAACCCATGTGTTTTTCTAACATCCTGATGATCTACAATTTACATAAATGACAAAATTATTTGTGTATGTAAATAATTACATATGGATAGAGCAGTTATAAAAACTTGTGAGTTTTAAAAGTTGAGTTTTAAAATGTTCTCTCATAAATGAAAACTTCTGCTTTTCTTCACAGCAGCTTAGAAACTGTATTGGATTTTCAACAGACCCATTATATTAACAACTGGTACAAGTTTTCACAGGAGTTTTTAAAGGAAAAGTTGTGTAACAAAATAACAAACAGTACTGTAATAGGTATATTTTGTACCTAAAAATCTTATGCATATTAACCACTCTTCAAATCTCAAAATTATCTACCGAACACCTACTATGTATTTAGTTGTTTTTTTTCATTATTTAACTTGATTTTTCTCTACTTTTGGTAAATCTAGTAATCAAATTTCCGTGATTAATAATCTTTTATCTACTCTATCCCCTCTATTTGGCAGTTATGCATTTACTGAGAGTTAGGTATAAAAATAAAAAAGATATTTTCTCACTGTTTCCAATTTATTTTCTGCAAGTACTTTTTTCAAAGTAGCTAACCAATTAATCGAGTTACTAGTGAGGTATCATACTATTTCAGTATTTTAACTAAGCTGTAATTATACAAAATTAATCTTAACAGCTATTAATTACCTACTAATATTCCTAAACATCTGATATCATGTTGTAACACTACTACATGTTACACCCTACTTTTTTTTATAACACGGGTGCTAACAAAGTGAAATTTCACACTTTTAACAAAAGATGCATGGTGTCTTAACAAACATGAAATTTAATAACCAATCTTCTAGACCAGTGGTTCCCCGCCTTTTCCAGACTGAGGACCTGCTAGTTCCAATCCAAAAACTTAACAGACTACTTCACACAATATTAAGTTTTCAAAATACTTTTATATTACATTGTAAAGCAATATACTACAGTAGGTTGAAACACATTTTTTTCAACTGTCTTATGGACTGGCTGAAATCCCCTCGTGGACCATTATCAATCCACAGACCAGTGGTTGGGAACCTCTGCTCTAGACTATAATGCATGTCAGAATTAACAGAAACTTCACATGTACATGGTCTTGGGATCTTACAGGTACTCACAAACCATCTCTGAATGTTGAGCTGGACACTAATTCTGTTCCATACTGAGATTGAAATTTTGGTTTAAATATAAGTTATACTAAGTTAATATCGGTAAAATTTATATAATTTTGTATGACTTGTTATAGATTTCATGAACAAAAACAACAGAGATACACTGGCCAAACTACAATGTTAGTTACAAAGTAGATTTATTGACCGATGTCTATGGCCACAGGTTTTGAAGTATCCGTGCGACTGTAGGGAATGGGCAAATGATGAATGTTATGACAGAAAACACTCTTGTATCTAACATTTGACCACAGGTTTTGAAGTATCCGTGCGACTGTAGGGAATGGGCAAATGATGAATGTTATGACAGAATACTCTCTTGTATCTAACATTTAATAACTCAAAAAGCACTATGAGACTATAGGGAATATAATATTACACATGCCCATAATGTATAAACATTGTTCAAACATGTATTTTATCTATATAAGATACACCCTATGCTACCAGTCACCTCAATATCCATGTCTCTAGCATAGGGAGATAGCATTTAGAAAAATGGTTAATTCTAAATTTAAAAAATCATATTACCTGTGTGTTATCACATCCCAATTAGAGATGGATCAATTAATCAGTTATTCATGAACATTAATTACACCAATTAGATTTCACGTAAAGCAATCGATTAATTAAATTACAATTAAATTGATTAACGTTATGAATACGATCAAGTAATTGAATTTTGTGTTTCCAATTATCATATAAATGTAATTGAAATATTGCCATTATGATTTTTCATTAATTAAAGGTTGTTTAATTCAATAAATTAGTGTCATGACTCACAAAAATAATTAATAATCAATGATCGTTATCAGTTTTTCCAATTATTACTATTTTCAATTATTCTAATTATCTGAGTCTCATGCAAGAATAACTAATTAGTTTCATGTAATCAGTTAGCATGTCTATTAACTGCCCAGTTCTAACCCACACTATGGTCAATGTATACAGCTAGTTGGCACTGCTATATTCTTCTACCATTACTCAAGTGGCTTGTTTGTAATAACTGTTTTTATCTTTTACCAGAAGAACTATTTTCTTGTAACTGGCTGGGAGTTTTTAGATATAAGATACTGTAGGCATGATGTGCTCATATTTGCTCCCAATTATCCAATTTTATTATTTAACTTTAGTTCTGGTTAAACTTCACATGCCAAGCCTATAAAAAAAAAGAAAAAAAAAAAGAGTTAAATATGACAGATGATGTATGCCCCACCACTGTGTTGATCCTACTTCTTCATACTTCTGTTACTGTAATATGTTTTATCATTTTCACCAATGTAGTTTCTACCCTCATTTTATTTGTTTATCCTTTATGTGGAATTTTTGTTCTTGCCCTAATTGTCTAAAATTAAATTTTTTATGAGCCAAAAATAAAGCTAAAGATCTACCACACACACACACAATGAATAGTTTTTGCTAAATCACTACAAAGTCCATAAATATATATATATATATACAGCAGAATGAGCTTGGTACATAATTAGATTTACTTTTGTCTTCTAGCCTGCTTATAAGTAAGCCAGGTTTGAAATTTACGAGTAAATTTCAACAGGGTTTCCCCACAATTTCAAACACAAAGATACTATATGCTAGTATGTAAACCAATATATGCTAATAGCAAATGAAATATTAAACTAAAAGTGTAAAATACTCCAAAGTAAACACAACAATATGATTATGAACACAATATCTAATTGTATGTCTATGTATACCCAAATTAATTCTGTAATTGAAGAAATACAGCTTGAGGGCATTTTGAGTTCCAAGCATTTGTAAAGAAATAAAACTTCAATGATTTACATATTTTCTTTAAGATCAAATGCACTTCAGAATTTCACACAACTTGAATTAAAGTTCTGTAAAAAACAAAATACTTGTCAGACTTAATTACATATCCCAGTACAATATTTTTGAATTAAAACTGTCTCAGTTAATAACAGCCATTGTTCAGTCATAGTGCCATTTTTTGTCCATTCTGTAATACACACAAAAGAAAGATAAATATGGAAGACATGGAAATCCAAGAATAACTTGAAACCACTTAGTCAACTGTATTATTTTTAATTTCTTGTCACCAAAGTTTTTATCAAAAGTGTGATATCAGTTTTATGAAATAACAGTGTACAATTAACATTTGATTGCAAAATATAATAGTATGCTTTATAATACCTTACAGTACAGTATATATCGTAATAGGTGCTAACTTGAGCTATACTTGTAAAAAAAAAAACAACACCAATAACAAAAAGCAGGAATGAGAAAGCTTACTAACAATATCATGAAAAATTAAAATTGAAATTGTACACCAAGTTGTGTGTTAGGAAATTCAATCATCATATTGCAACAGTCAGTATGGTGATCAACTACACATTGATCTTAACCCTACAGACACGAGTCAAAGGCCGTATCATCGCGTTTCTTGACTCGCATTCACAATCTAATTGAAGTATCATTTTATGAATGTATGACAATAAGTTTGGTATCAATTGTAAATTATAATTAAAATTTTAGTACTATAATTAATTCATTTCTTAATTTAAAAGTAAATATTAAAAGAAATCCTAAATATCAATTTTGTGTGTCACGGTATGTTGAATGCAGCATTGGTTCAAATTAGATGTCTGTGATGTCCAAATACAAAATCTATATTTCTTGTGAATCAGATACTCAAATTACCAATATTGACAGCTAGAATATAAAATATGAACCTCCTATCTTTTCTATTTTCTGAGACATTAATATATTTACTGAATCAAACAAGGTGACCCCACCCACCTCTTCAAATTTTTAAGTACTTGCTTATGTACATCTACTTCACCAAATGATGTTTATAACCAATTGAAAGCTAAGAATGTCCATCTAGTGGTTTTCTCAACATCTGCAAAGTATTTGCACAGCAAACTCTTTCTTTTCATGCTACTTTCCGAATGGTAAGGTAATACAGAGCTTGATATATTATAGTGGAATTGATATAGATATACATTATTCTTGATTATTTTAAAATGTATATATAAAACCTAAAAACAATTATTCGTTTCACATCTTCCACGTGCAAAATTTGATAAAGCTTAGCACCATATGGCAAGCAGCAAACGAGCACAAAGTTCATA